TTGTCCACTTAAGAAAATACAGGCTTGCCCTGAATTCAAACTGAAGCGTCAAAGAGAACCCCTGCTGCTGCTGCCCATCCCCTAATTCCATTCCCCAGAGGTAGCCCCCTTTGTAGTTGCTGGGGTGTTCTCAGTTAAGGACATGTTTAGGAGAATCGTGAGTGTGCGGTGGTAAATTGTGAATGTTCGTGGTTGTAACTTTTACAGATATTGTTGTGTGCTGGGCACGAGGAAGGTGGAGGGCTGGGCTTGGAGGGACCTTCAGAAACAAGTCTGTAGAATGAGGGAAGGGAGGAGATGGAGAATCTTCGAGAATGGATTTTGATTGGATTTGTTATGGGGAGCAGGCAAGTGATGGTGATTCAGCTCTTGCCTCCTGAGTAGGGTGGGGTGGAGGGGGCAGTAGGAAGGCAGCTGAGCAGGGGTCCTCAGGAGCTGATGGTAGGACTAGTAGGTATTTATCAAGTACCTTTACTTGACTAAACTAAAAGTTGGCAACTCTGTTAGTCCCCTTCCTTTGCGTTAAAAAAAAATTCTTTTAAACAAATCTACATCAAAAAATCCGAGCGGGCCAGAGGTTTAGCTCAGTAGCACTGCACCTGCCTGGCAAGCACAAGGTCCTGAGTTTGATCTCCAGTACCGGGGGGAAAAAAATCTGAGCAAAATTGCAGAACTGGATTAGGAGTTGTCAGTGTCGGATTTGGGCTGCTCCTTTGCTTTATTTTACTTACAATTATTGCAGTGCTGAACAAACCCAGGGGCTTGTTCATGCTAAGTGCTCCAGCACTGCCTTTTTTTTTTTTTTGAGACAGCGTCTTGCTGAGTTGCCCAGGCAGGACTTGAACTTGTAATCCTCCTGCCTCAGCCTCCCAAAGTGCTGGGATTATAAGTTAGTACCATTGCTCCTGGCCCTCCTTAATTTTTAGATCTCATTTTCCTTATCCATAGATCAATGGTTCTCAGCCCTCAAGATACAGTCAATTGGGAAATTTAAAAAATAACAACAAAAAACCCTGAACCCAGGGCCCCACTCCAGACCAAATGTATCAGAATTTTGGGGGGTAGAACCTGGGAATTTTTTTTGTTTTGAATTCAGCCAACATTTAGAATCCCTGGATTTGAATCATCCTGATGGCTTATCTTAGCCTGGTTTTATTTAGGCTTCCCAGTTGCTCCGACAACTCTGTGTCCTGTATTATGTAATTCTGTTCCTTGTAAATACTGTGCACAAACGTTATAAACATCTCACTTAGCAAGAGGTCTTCTTTTTTTTTTAATGAGAAACTCCCCATAATTCTCGTCAGGCTCCTGATCTAATGCTAACATCCTGCATCAATAAATCAGAGTCATAAATGTAGTAAAGCATCACATCATTTTTTGACCCAGTTGAAAGCCTGGGCTTTAATCTTGAACTTCTCTCTCCTTGGTTTTGCAAAGCTGCTGCCTGCAGGCCCTGGTCTCCCCCACCCCCGCCCCACCCCGCCCCAAGAGACTCAAAAGACTCAAATGTTAAGAGTGCAAATGTTACTGGAAGTGTTTTGCTAGAAGCATTGAAGGGGATACCATGAGCTCCAGAGGAGCAGGGCCACATCGGGAGGCTTATCGGATCTTGACTCTGCCTGCAGTGGGAGGAGTTTGAAGAGGCTTGGTGCCATTTTATCTCCACCATTGAAGTTTTTGGTTTTCATCTCTTCCTAAATGAGTCACTTTTTAAAAAAGGAGCCTGACTTGGGGAGGGAGGGAGGGAACCACTGCGGGTAGGGCTGGCAGTGCTGGTGATTGCACTGGAGGCATGGGCTGTACCCTGGGCCTGTCTCTGCTGGGGTTAGGGCCGGCTAAGTCACCCTGGCTGAGATGGAGCTTGCAGTCCTCCTGCTTCAGCCTCTCAGAGAGCTGGGACTCCAGCCCCACACCTGGATTGATATTGTTTATTCATTACCAAGTACTTACTAGTACCCATCCACCAAGACTCAGTCCACAGGTGCTGGGGAGATGGTGGCCCCAGGAAAGGACTTCTAGTTTCCCCTCGAGCTGGGACATGGATCTGTGTCCCTTTATGGCTGCTCTCAGACTGAAGTTAGAGTTCTGCCCTGGGGTGAATACACAAGTGATGTTGGGGTCGGGTGAGGCGTCAGAGGGGAAGACAGTGGCAGACTGAGGTCGCATTTGCACCGTGGGGTGCTAAGGGACTAGGCCACCAGGAAGAGAGGGAAGCAGGGCCCCGGGGATCTCTGTGTGTCACTTCCTCTTTCTGTCTGAAGCCTCCCAGCTGGAAAGGGACCCCATGCACCGCATTGCCCTGCACCTGTGGCTGTACAGAGCGCCCTGTCCTTGGTGCCCAAGAGAGAGTGGGACAGGTAACACATAGTAGCTTTGGAGAACGGAGCAGTGCACACAGCATGGCCCATGTCCCACTCTGAGGTCAGAGTGTGACCTGCTGCAGTGGTATTTTCCAAGTTTGTCACCGACTTCCTGTTGGGCAGGGTCTGAGGTCCAGGCAGGGTCTCACTATGTAGTGCAGGCTGGCCTCGAACTTGTGATTCTCCTGTCTCTGCCTCCTGCTGACATTTGTCTTGCTTCTTTGCAAACTGTCTCATGGAAAATGCTCTGTCCTTTCTGGACCTGTCCCCCTTAGTGAGGCCCAAGAGAGCCGGGAGGTCTAAAGGCTGGAAGGAGGGAGGGAAAGGACATGAAGTGGCCCCTTATGTAACACCAGAGCTATGGCAGATCTTTTTATTCACTTCCAGGTTTTTTTTGGTACCGGAGATCAAACTCAGGACCTTGCGCTTGCGAGGCAGGTGGCAGAACCACTGAGCTAAATCCCCAGCCCACTTCCAGTTTTATTTGGGCCTTGCATCAGCCCCTGCATAGCCAGACCCAGAGAGGCCAAGAGAGCAGTCCCAGGCTGAACAGCTGCTGGGGGGTAAGGTGAGGGTTCGATCCCTGGCCTGACTTTCACTGCCTGTTACCTCAGTCACAAAGAGCACACCGCCTCTTTGGCCCCTGGTGTGTTGGTTTCTCAGTGGGCATCTTGGCAGCCGGCACTGCCATCTTTTCTCCAGGCCCTTTGTCGCTCAGGGCTGCCCTTTTTCCTGCTCATCCCCTCCTGTGGCCCTGGAACCCCAGATGGGGTGGGTGGTGGTCCAAGATGGTCAAATCTGATTTCCCGGAACCCAGTCCTGACTCACGGTGATCATGAGCCCCACTCGGCTGGGTCTTTCCCACGACAAGCTCTCCCTTGAAGGAAGAAGTCAGGTTGTCCGTCTGCCCTTGATCATGTGTGAAAGAGGGCTGAGCAAGGACACTAAGACCCTGAATCTGCAGGTGTGGGATGAGGAAGCACCCGGTCCAGCTGTCCTCCTCCTCCTCAGCACGGCTTTTAGCAGCACAACTCATAATAGCTAAATCTTTTGATTTTTTGGTTTTTTTTGGTACCGGGGATCGAACTCGGGTCCTTGCACTTGGGAGGCAGGCAGCAGAACCACTGAGCTAAATCCCCGGCCAATAGCTAAATCTTGAAAGTGGTCTAGATGTCCATCACCAGATAATGAATAAAGAAAAGGTGGTATTTACACACACCGGAGTACTACTCTGCCATAAAGAAGGATAAACTTGAGTCATTGTAGGAAAATGGATGCACCTCGAGACCATAATGTTAAATGAAATAAATTAGACACACAAGCTTAAATAGCACATGGTTTTTCTTATATGAGACAAATATAAAGAGCATTAAAAGAGATACAGTAGTACCTCGGTTCACAAACTTAATTCTTTCCATGATTCTGGTTGCATACCAAATTGGATAAGAACCTAATCAAATTCAGTGGTTAGGTTCAATGTTGACCTTATGAGGAGAGAATTAAGCTCACGAACCAAGATACCACTGTAATAGGAAGTAGGGACATAGATCTTTCTCAAATGGAAAGGGAATTGAGAGATGGGTAGTGGAAAGAGACATAAAGAGAATATAGATGTGTTATGTACATGCACCAATTCCCATGATGAATGTGACCATTATGCACTTCAAATCTGGACTCATAAAAATTAAAATTAAAAAATAAAGAAGCTATCAGACCCCTCACCTCCTGCAGGGAAACAACAGGTGAACTCCAGTCCACAGCTTCCGAGGGCCGTGTCCCTCCCTCCTCGTTCTAGTTCTCTGCATTTTCTGAAAACCCTTTGTAGTTCTATCACCTGGCAGCAGACTTGTTCTGTGGGCCATGGAGGCCCTGGGGGAGCCAGGGACAGGTGCAGGTGTCCTAGGCACAGCCGTCAGTGTCCCCCAGGAATTTGCAGTCTAAACCAGCAGCTGGTGCCCAGGCCAAGATCTGGGGAGCATGAGGGAGCTGGGGATCCAAGGTGCCACTCAGGGGACTGCAGAACGGGTGGCAGCCGATGGTGGCCGGTAACACGGAGATCAAGGTGTCTCTGGGTTCCCTCCTTGTGAGGACTCCAGGAAAGGATCAGTTCCAGGCCCCTCAGGCTTCCTGTGGTGTCTCCGGCACATGTCTCTGTGTCCGCATTTCTCGGTTTTATGAGGAACCCAGTCCCGTGGGGTTAGGGTCCCCACCCTCCATCAGCATGAACTCATTTTAAGTCATTGGATCTGTAGCGACCCCTCCCCAACTGCATCTCTTGTGAGATCCAAGGGGTTAGGGCCTCAGCATAGAGTTTTGGGGAGATCAGTTCAGCCCATAGCACAGTTTAACCCACTGCACATGGGAAGGTAAGGCTAGAGGTTAGGTTACTGCGGTAATGTGTGTGGCTCTGCTGGCATGGACCCCAGTGTCAGTGGTGGAGGCGGCTTGAAGTGAGAGCTGACAGCATTTGCTGGTGGATCAGGTGCAGGGTGAGAGGGCTGAGGGATCCCTGAGGGCTCAGGTTCAGGCCTTCCTCGTTGGCTGGGGCTGGCGCCTCCCCAGGCAGCCCTCCCAGACTATACCTCCTTTTCCCTTGTGTCATCAAGTCTCCTGAACTCGATTTTTGGGTCCCTCTCCTAGGCCCCGGCTCCGGAGGATGCAGAAGGAGGAAGGCACCAGAGTAGCCCGGCCCTGAACGCACCACCCTCACCTCCTGCAACAGGTAGCGTCTCTGGGGTTCTTGGCACCAGAACAGTGTGTGGCAAAGGGTGAGCATCGTTTCTTTGACCCTGGGTAAATTTTGGTAAATGCCCAAGAAGGGAGGAGGGCTGCTCCCTGGACACCATGGATTTCCAGAAACCTTTCCCTGGATTGGCACACGGGTGTTCAGTGTCATCTAGTATGGGGTGGGGGGCATCCTCTCTTGTCTCTCTTTGCAGAGCAGTTGCAAATAGTTAAGAATCCATCGCTGGGTGTAGTGGCACAGGCCTGTAATCCCAGCACTCAGGAGGCTGAGGCAGGAGGGCTGCTGGGAGTTCGAGGCCAGCCTGGGCTACACAGTGAGACCTTGTCTCAAAACAACAAAGGGCTGGGAATGTAGCTCAGTGGTGCTACACCTGCCTGGGAAGCGCAAGGTCCTGAGTTCAATCCCTGGCACCAGGAAAAAAGAAAGAAAGAAAATGCTTTCAAAACAACAAAAAGAATACAAAGGCTGTTCGAGGACAGAGGCCCTGCCTGTTGAGAAGGAATTAGAAATGGCTGGGTCTCTGGAGAATTGTGGCAGAGAGGCCACTAGGAGCCCGCGGAGCTGGCCAGGGCCTGTTCCTGCTTGAGGAGCTTCTGCTGGCCCTGGGGCTTCCTAGTGTGTCTGTTGCCTCCTGTACTGTGGCTGTTCTGGGCTTGGTTTGCCCCTCTAGGAGATGGGCACACAGCTGGGACTCCTTTGTCAGGTCCCACACAGACGCCTGCAGAAGGATCAGTAAATTTGTGTGGAAATTCGATTTTAATTTGTTTCTTTGGCTGTAAATCCTGGCCAAGCAAGAAACATCTCTTTCCCACATCCTCTTAGTGACAGAGGGGGAGGTGAGGGGGAGGACTCAGTGTGTGCACTGTCCCCCTCGTCTTAGTGGTGCTCAGAGTTGATTGCTTTAGTTTATCTTTTCACTGTTTTTGTTTTTGGTACTGGGGATTGAACTCGGGACCTTGTGCTTTCGAGGCAGGTGCTGGAACCACTGAGCCAAATCCCCGGCAAGTTTATCTTTTCTTTCTTTTTTTTTGGTACTGGGGATCGAACTTGGGTCCTCACGCTTCCGCAGCAGGCTGCAAAACCACTGAGCTAAATCCCTGGCCCTTAGTTTTTCTTTTCTTTTTATTGCACCTGATTTTGATTTGATTTTGAAGCCACTCCGAGGGTCCAGCAGGAAGCAAGTGCTCACTGAGCTAGGGTTAATTGCTGTGTCTCCTGAAGGGAGTGTGTTTGTTTCTGTTGTTTTTGTTTTGCAATACTGCTGAGCCACATTCCCAGCCCTTCTTTTTATTTTGAGACTCGGTCTCACTGATTAGCCCAGGTAGCAATTTTCCTGCCTCAGCCTCTCAGAGTGCTGCATGCACCACTGCTTCAGCTCCGAAGGGACTCTGGATTCTGGTGCAGGCAGGGCTGAGAGTCAGCGACACATGCTGTTGGCTGGTGGGAACTCTGGGGACCCTCCTCCTTTCCACCCTCAGAAGACCCCGGGGGTCAGGGGCTTGCCCACAGCCACACAGTTCTTCATTGAAGTGGTTTGAAAGCTCATGACAGCTGAGAAGCAGTAGGAAGTGCCAGGAAGGGCTGCAGTTGGCACTTGGGTGGGGACAGCTGAGAACCCCGTGCCAGCAGCCTGAGGTCCAGTTCTGGAGTGGGCACGTCGGAATGAGGGACCAGTGAGCTCAGGTTCTGGGGTGCAGACTGCCACCTCTGAGTCCACGTGTGGCAGAAGGGGACAGGGACTTCTCTCAGGCCTCTTCTTCTTTTGGTTTGGTCTTTTGAGACAGGGTATTGCTATGTAGCCCATCTGGCCTTGAACTTGTGGTGACCCTCTTGCCTCAGCCTCCTGAGTGCTAGGATTATAGGTGTGCAACACCATGCCTGGCTCTCAGGCCTCTTTTTTTTCTTTTGGTACCAGGTATCGAACTCGGGACCTTGCACTTGGGAGACAGGCACCGGAACCACTGAGCTAAATCCCTGGCCCTCTCAGGCCTCTTTTATAAGGACATTAACCCTGCCTCTTCATTACCACCTGAAGGCCCCATCCTGGTAGCATGGCCTTCCGGGTTAGAATTTCAGTGTGTACATTTCAGACCAGGGATGCTCTTGTTTCCCATTTATCAGTTTGGATTCTTTGAGGCATGAAAGCAGAACAGCAAACCCAAAGGCTCTCAGAGAACACAGGGGGTTAGTGAGCTCATGTAGCCATGGGGTGCAGGGATAAGGTGGGCTGCAGGGAGAAGATGATCCAGCAGCTGAACAGTACCCTAAATCATCCAGTTTCTTTCCATCTCTCCTCCACTTCCACTTTCCTGGGTCAGTTCTCATTTAGGCTGGCATCTTCGTGGGAACAGGGAGGCCAGGGGTACACAATGGGTACAAAACTCTGGGCACTGTTGGGGAGGAGGGAAATGGAATTGAGAGCCGCAGCTGACACCCACCGTACCATGTGGTCTTTAGAAGCCAGTTACTAATTTGGACTAATCTTGGAGGGTGACAGTGAGAGGAGACGCCCTCCTCATGAGCGAACGTCTGAATTTTAAAATGTTCTAATGCAACATAGTTTCAGGCAGAATCTTCCAAACTGTTCCAGTTAAGAAGCAGGCAGCTTGTGTTTCACAGTATCTATTAAGACACAGGATCTTCTAATAGGTTAACTATGCCTTCCGCAATCCTCTTTAATTTCTAATTTGCTTATTCAACCTTTTTATAGCTCGTGTAAACACTGAACTCAAATTCTGGGTTGGTGGAGATTAAATTACAGTAATGAGGTTCCTCATTTATAACCACTCCTATAAAACGGGAATAAGAATAGCACCTACTTTATAGGTTTGCTGTAAGGATTAACTGAAGTAATCCAATAAAGTGCTTAGCCCAGTGGCTGGCCCAATAAATGTTACCTTTATTAGTGTCATATATCTCAAAATACTGTCAGGTTTATGTGTTTACGTGCATGTTTAATCTGGGAAATTAACTCTCTTCACAACAAATATATTGTCCGCCACTGATTAGCTGTTAGGGATGAGGTAAATAAGTGTATTAAAATATTTATGGATTTATTCTTTTTACTGATTTTTTTTTATTAGAATTCATTTGGAGGAAAACCCAAATAAAGAAAAGCTTAAGTAGTATACAGTTAAGTTAAAAGTAGTTATAATCCTTGGAAAAGAGGGATTTTAACATTTCGTGGCAATATGTTATTGTATTGTTAGTTGAAATGTCCTTTAATGCCAACAAAAGAGTAGGAAGGACATAATCTAAGAATAAAACTTAAGTCTTTCAATTGAAAACACTCAGCTTTAAGAATAATTTAATACCCGGTTCTTCTTATTTTTCTGATGTCACCTCTGAAAATGACATCGGGGTAGCAGCGTGGCCCTGTCCCCACTCATTAGAGGTGTGGGGAAGCAGCTGGAAGTGGGGAGTTAATGTGTGTAATGCGCAACTGTTGGGAAAAAATATACCTTTTGATTGGATTTAAAGGTTAAAGTTGGGGAGAATTCAGTTTAACACAAACCTTGATAAATCCAATTCATTTTATAAAGAACCAGTCACTCACCAGTTATTAACAGAATTGTTAGTTTAATTTTCTACCAACAAGAAGGAGGAGAACCTCATGATACCTAAATAGTTCAAAATGCTGAGTTTGGTCTGAGAGCCCAGAAAGGGGGGGCCGAGCAGCATCAGAGTTTCGGGTGTTAGTGTGTGTAGCAAAGTTGGATCTCGGAGCTGCCAAGATTTCATGACTCTTCAGCTGCCTTTTAGTCATTATAAAAGCCCCAAGCATGCTGCCCACCATCCCTGACACTGCTCCGATGCACCGGCCTGCTTGGCTTTGCCACAGACATGCTTTGCCTTCTAGCCAGGGATTAAACTTCCAGGTTAGACAATGACTGGGGTGACAGAAACTCCTCTGTCCTCATTCCCGCCAAGAGAGATGGCTTGTACATCTTTGAGGGACCTTGATGGAATCATGGCATCCTGGAGCCAAGGTGGGGTCTGAGGCCCTCGTGTTCGTAATCCTTGACTGGCAAAGTTGTGCCAATCCTAATGAACAGTCCATGGGTCCTCTGTGAAGAAGGACATAAACTCAGAGGTGTTCCTTCAAAAAAAAAAGAACAGGCTATCTGTGGCACACTTGCATTTACAGCCATTGTCCTGTTTCCTGTGTCCCTGGCCCATGTCACTGTTTGAGAACTCTGGTCATACAGGACAGTTCTTGAATGTTGTAGGAAAACTCAGCCGTGATTTGTTCACCTTGCCTTTCTCAAGATGTCTCTCACTCCGCAGAAGACTGTGAGATCAGCAGAGCTGTGTTTGTGAGACATTACCAGAACATTCTTGCCTCAGTCACCTTGGGTTGCCATCACTAAATGCCACAGACTGAGGGGCTAAAGCAACAAATTGATTCTTCATAGTTATAGAAGCTGGGAAGGCCAACATCAAGATGCCCAGCATGAAAGGTTTCATTCTGAGGCCTTTCTTGTGACACATCAGTAGCCGCCATCTTGCTGCGTGCTTTCCTGACCTCTTCCTTGGGTGATCTTGAAGACAGGAAGCTCTGATGTCTCTTCCTCGTCTTAGAGGGGCACTAATCCTGTTATGGGACTCTCCCCTCATGACAGCATCTAAACCTGAACACCTCCCAGAGGCCACAACTCCTAATACTCCTGTTGGAGATCAAAGCATCAACATATGAATTTGGAGGGACATAAACAGTGAATCCACAACAACTCTAAGTCTTTATTTGTGCTCCCCTTGAAGCGCCTCCACAGTCACTGGTCCAGGGGCCCTGCAGTAGAGAAAAGATTAGTGGGATGAGTGTTTATTGCTGTGGAAGAGTGGAAGCAGTCTAAAGCTGAGGTGGCTGAGTGACTGGAACGTGAGGTGACCTGGGGCTGGACAGTGATCTCCTTGTCTGTCCAGGCCTTAGGTTCCCGTATGCCAGTGTTAAAGGTATGCTTCCTGAGCTTGGTCACCATCAATGACATTTAGATGGTAAACATTGTATATTCCCTGACCACC